TCCTGAAACGATAATGGTGCGCGGAAACTCTCTTATTGACGACTTAAAGCTTCTTATCAATAATCCTCGATATAGTGATATAGAAATTAGGTGCAAGGATAATTCTGTCCTTTATGGTAACAGTGCAATTCTTGCTGCTCGTTCCGAAGTGTTTGAGAGGATGGTTTTTATAGGAACAGATGTTCCTGGCAAGCAAATTTCGTTCTCAGAAATCGAATCATCATCAATGAAAATTATTCTTGAATATTTGTATACGGGAACAGTTTTGGAGAGGGACGTTACTATCGATAATGTTTTCGAAGTCTTGCATGCAGCAGATTTCTTTCAATTAGAAAACTTTCAAGACCTTATTTCAGAATATTACAAAAATATGTGTGAGAAAAAAGAATACGAAAACAAATCGTCCGAATCATTATCCAAGGTAGTTCAGTTGATGTCCCCTTCAGCTAATAATGGCGTCATTGACTATTTAGTAGATTCAGTGGCTAAGATTCCTTTGGATTCTATTGATTTTGGTAGATTATCACTTCAAGGTTTGCAATGCTTATTATCAAAGAGGAATGAAAAGAGAGCATTTGCATCTACCGAATATTCTGTTTTACGATTTGCAATTTTGTCGGCTGCGAAAAAAGTATCACAAGAAGTATTTTCTATTCTGGATAAAAGATTACCACCATGGAAAAAAGTAATGGGATCGCCGCTTCAAGACATTAAAATAGAGAAAGAAATTATCAAGTCAATTTCCGATGCTATAAATCCGGTTATAGAGCATGTTGATTTTAGAAGGATTGATGGAATGATTCTTGCAAAAGTAATCGAACCATTAAATATTATTCCAAGTAATAAGATCGTGGAATCGTATAGATTTCAAGCCTGCGAAAAATCACCATTACCAGAATATTATGGTACTCCAATTTGTGATATTAAATGGGATATAAACGGCCGCGGACCAAGTATAAATATTAGTGAAGACGGTTACACAATTAGCACTTCTCTAAATATGCATCAAAGTGTAAGAACAAATCATCTTATATGTAATGGAACTTATGAGTTTCATGTTCTGTTCGAAAAAGTTTGTCTTAATTCTTGGGTGGGTGTTTGCGATGAAGGCCTTGATTTTTCTTATTTTGCTGGAGATCAACAAAATGGATGGGTTTTAGGTACGAATGGGTGCTACCATCATAATAATCAATCTATTCAAGGAATGTTAGACTTCAGGCAAGATAATGCAAAAATTATTGTGCACCTAAACATGGATGACAAGACAGTCGCTTTTTCAGTCAACGGTACAAGATATCCACCAGTTGCATCATGGACTAAT